TATATTGATATAGAAAAATATACATATCCTATATCTATATATATATATATATATATATATATATATATATATATATATATATATATATATATATACATTTGAGAGTCATGGGTACTAATTGACGGCAGTTATATATTTTCTAAGAACATTACAAGAGGATTAAAAAGCATTAAATAAGAGTTACTCATTCATGTATAAACCCTGAATTAGGATTAGGACAGTCTATAACTGTCTTGCCCAAATAGCAGGTCAGGATAATCTGTGGATTCATCATGTTTCTTTTCTTTATAACAACATATCCGATGCAATACAACACGCTGGTAATTTGCACTGTACAAGTGGAAATTATCTTAACCAGACCACATGAAGGCAGCATAAGTCTTAAAAGAAAAATTATCCTACGTACTTGCTAAAACAGAAGTAGCTCTGTTACCTTTTCCATATTGTAAAACCAGTGTTTGCTAATTGGCCTAATTCTTAAGGGTTTGTTATAAGATATACCTAAAGGCACACCATGTAACTTTTGGCCACCAGGGGCGCTATACCTGTAACTGCCGGTATTTTGTTTCTACTAAACAAACAAAATAATAACAAAGATATATGACTGTATACTAGGAGCACTAGGATTGACAACTTGAAGATGCAAGGAAACCTAAAGAATCTGTTTGTAACATTTATAAGAAGCAGTAGAGTAGCTCACTAGCAGCATCAGCTGGTAATAGCTCTAAGCGTCTTTAATGTCTAAAGCTAACATTTGCCTGATATGATAATAATATGAATTTTACACTTTCTTGAAAAAATCCGAAGATAATTGAACCAATAAGCTACCTTTATTCTCATGATGGCTAAATAAAACGTGCAAATGTGCATGAAAAAATATAAATTGTACAAATTAGATATTTTAAAGAGCTTTTCAGTATTGACCAGTTAAAAAGCTTACTATCAGTGTAAATAAGATATTCATAGACAGTAAATTAATTTAATCCTTCATGCATCTCCTGCTTCTTTACTGTAAACTTAACCATTCTTTGTTTTCTTTTAAAATAAAATATGTTGTTATTTTGGGGAATTTTTTTTTTTCAAGATTTCTACTCTCTGCTACTCTCCCTGCCCAGCTACCATTGTGACAACTCTAAATGTATTTAAAACTAAAAATAGACCTAAAGAAATAATTGAAAATGTTACAATTTAGTTTGAACTCAAACTACAGAAATAAATCTATCTAAAATATCAAATTCAACCAAAAGACAATTATCGGGGGCACAGATGAATGTCAGGTAAATAAATTACTGATGCTGTGTGTAAATTGAACGCACTTATTTATTTTAGAGCAACAGTTTTAGATATCAACAAGGTATTCCATTACAAAATATATCAACACTTTATTTACAAGCTGCTCTGTAATCCAGGGCAGGATCATGTGGGACATATTTTAGAGTGGAGTCCCTTTTCTGCTGTAACTGCAGGCACGGTTTGCTACACAACAAGGCTGCTGTCAAATGTACAACCTGTGCTTCTAAAATGGGAGGGGCCCACAGCACTCACTAATCACTGCAGATGAAAACTTCAAAGTGATTCATAGTTTTATATGTTGTCACCAAAATCTCCCACTACACAGTAAAAATGTTGCTGGATTTGTTGTCAGCTTCTTTTCTTTTAAAAAAGTTGCTACATGTGGCAGCAAATTCACTAAGTTAGCAGCAGCGCCTTAACAGTAGTAGCAGTCACAACTGCATGAAAGGCAGTAAAAAGCTCTAATGGAGCTTTTTTTAATACTTCTAGTAACAGTGACATATATAAGCAGTGTGATGCTGTCTGAAATCTTCCTTCTTTTGCACGTGTAAGTCACTTTGGAGTCATAAACTATTCAGATAGAAGTCTGATAGTTATTGCATTTAAAGGAATGAATGACCATGTTAAAAAAAAAGAAAAAAAGATTTCATTAATAAGGTGAGCATCCAACCTATAGTGTGTATTTTAGCCTAAATGGGGACCTCAGTTTTGCTTCCAGTCGTACCTCACAGTAAGGAAGTTGATTTAAATAATTCTGCTTTCTTTCTTTCTTTCTTTCTCTATTTTTCTATGTAGTGACTCTGATCTGCAGATAAACATGAGCACATTCAGATAAATGTATTTCCTGTTTCATCATTTCACCTCTTACATCTTCATAGTTTGGTTTTCATCAGTCCAACAGCTTTATGTGGCTTAATGTTGTCTGAGCCCTGTTGATGTGTCTGGCCTAAATTGCTCTTCTGGTTTCTGTCTGTTTAATTTATGAAGTTTTTTTTTTTTCTTTACTGCTCCAAAAATACTTTTCATCTCCAAGTGTCTGTAGATTTGACTGTCTTATTCTATCAGCTCCAGTGTTTGATACCTGTCTGGTGTCTCTGAATGGAATATGCCAAGCTTTGGGGAGAGCTTTGTTGAAAATATTGCAGTGATGACAGTGACCCTGCTAGACAGTATCTTTTATAGGCAAGCTTTCTCCTGAAGAATAAAGCTGCTGGTTTGGACATTTCAACATATCTGCAGTGGTTGCTGTGGAAACAAATTGACCCTGGACATGCTCTCTCTTTCTTCTTATCTATGATGAGTGGATTGAAACAGAAGGATACAGGCTAGATGAGAATGGTAGAGAAGCAGAACATCCCTCTTGAGGGGAATAGAGAAAATGATAGAGGTGGATTGCTATTCTACTAGTGTTGCATTGAATTTGCAACATTTTCGGAAAATATGAGTTTACAGTTTGAGGCTCCATAAACCTACAAAAATACCTTGGCCTTTTCGACAAACTGATAGGGAACATCCTGCTTTAAGAGGGGAGAGATGTTTCTCATTCCAATACTAAAAGGTTTGAAAAGCTTCAATGCTACACATTTGTAAAATTAGTACTTTTTATGCATGTTCATAGGGGGAGGAATTAAGCCCTGGAGTTTTAACCACTGAAGACATACGTAACCCTCTTACAACTATTTACCAATCAAAAGCTGAAATATGCTCTGTCGGGAAATTGGACAGGGTCCAATTGGACGGGTGCAGATAAGGGATAAATGAAATGAGCTCTAACTATTACAGCCAATATAGCCTACGGTACTTATTAGCTTGAGCAGCTGCTGTATTGACTACTATTATGAACAACAGTTAGCTTGAGAAGCCCTTTGGCTTAAATAAATGTATACATAACAAATTATTTAACGTTTAACTAATCAGCTATAAGCCTGATGCCCAAATCGTTGTCTAATGGTGCATTCCCCCTGAAAATTAAAAAACTGTGGTAAATTCAACCAGTTTTGAGTGATTTTGCAAAAATCTCCTCTACATCATCAAGTGGAGTCATGTTTGTCATGTCGGTTTCAACTCAACATGGCAGACAGGTATTTTATGGAAAAAGTCGCAGTCCTGTGTTTAATCTGGAAAGCCGAATAAACCATCTCTTGGTCCACAAGATCCTTAAGAGACGCTTTAGATGTCCAGGAGCTGTGGCTGGGCCACGGCTGCTTTCTACAGAGTTTAAAGTCATGTGAAGTAGGGTTCTAGAGCTCAGACAGGAGCAACAGGGAAAGCAGATCAAGAATCCCAGAAGAGAGCACCAGAACCAGAATTAGCTGGCTGGCCGTGTCCCCTCCTGAGCCAGGAACCACAGCAGTTGATCGGAGAAGTACCAGAAGAGAATGGGAGAGGCGTGGCTGGCTCGGGCTTGATCTGGATACGCAGCGGGCAGAGCGCCAGTAGGGGAGCTGACTGGGGGTAGTCCTGCAGTCTAACAGTTGGAGACTGGAGGAGGACAGTGGTACATAGGCAAAGTCGGCCAAGTCGGCTGGCCGTTCTCTGCGCTAAAGTAAAGGGAAGGCAATGTACAGTTCTTTTAAAGTAAATTAAAGTGGCTTTTTAAGAAGCCACTAACACATTTCTTAAGTGCGTCCACTACTTTATCCTTCGTCAACAGGATTCTCTACACTGTGCTCCCTCACCCTACATCACAGCCGCATCTAGTCCCTGATTGGTCTTCACAAGGCAACTATAAACAAAAGTTCAGATTTTACAGTGAATGAGCCTGACATACTTCCAATGTGCGTGGACACTCTTCCTTTGCTGTATTCAGCAAAAATATGCCATTCGCCTCACTAGAATGGTGACCTTTGCCTTGCTCTGCCTTGCAGCACTCATGAGCCGTGCTCTACATAGAGATGACATGTAAAACGTTCCTCTGGCTGCAAAATCTGCATTTGGCATGAACGCACCTTTGTTTTGCATTTAGTTTGTCTCTTTAGTCATAGCTTGAAGCTAAGAATGTTGTCAAACTTGAGTATTATTTCCTTATGTTTCTGAAGCCTAGCTTATATTAAGGACATAAGTAAACAATGATAAATATCTAATTTTAATGTTTTAATACTATTTTATAATGTGTGCCACTTAGACACACACCTGTCAGAAATTGGATACATCAGTTTATATAAGCTACTGTGACGTTTCACATTTTCGTAGCTGAGTCGAACACTAAATTTGAAGTTTTGTGTCAACCTCCAACGTTACGGCATTGAAATTCAACAGCCAACCACCAAGGCCCAACAAGACACAATAGTATTAGCTGTTAGCATGAGTGGTTTTATACTAACACAACTGTTAACTTAATTTCCTAAACGTAATGACTTTGACTACTGTCTTCTTTAGGTCGCGTGCTGTGACTACTCAAATTTCAAAGGCAGTAGCTCTCTCTAGTTGGCACTATAGCCTTTCTGATAACTGGCAATGCCAGGCTTATTTTGTTATATTTCTATGTTTTACACTTTTTTGTGCTTTGTTAAACATTAGGCATATTGTATATTTAACGTAACATTACGTGACCGAAGGCATACATTCAATGAGAAAACAAAAAAGTAATGGAGCCAAGCAGGTCAGAATTTCCCCAGACAGGGTCTGAAAAGAAAAAGGAAATAGTCCAAATGTGAAAGACTGCCACAACAAAAAAATACCAAGAGGGATACGACATGAGTAGATCGATTTGTTATAAACGTTGCTGCTCACTGAAGGGGCTAAAGCGGCAGTAGCTGCCAAGTTGCAGGATGCATGATTAAGCACTGCCAGCAGATTGACACCTCTTACAACAGTTTTTATATCTTCTCATCACATTCTGTGCAAAAATGATATTCAAGCTCAAAATAAGACAAAGTAAACACTATTAGGACATTTTTTTTCATATATTGCTTTATTTAAACATTAACATACGTGTATTAGTAGGTATAGTACATGTCAATGTCCATTTAATGCAATTATGCTAAAGTTAATTATTTAAGAATGCAACAATAAAACATGCAATCCCATTAATTATGTATAATGCTGCCTGTATTATTAAAAGTAAATTATATATATGAATTTTTAGGTGCATTTAGTCTCTTACCTCTATGTAAAATTGAACTGTTAATAAGCTTTGTATACTAATTAGCATTTAGTACATTTTATTATAACTTGTAATTATACCTTAAATTGAAAAGTCACCGTATATTTTTGTAAAGAAACGAGATTGTGTAATTACTCAAAACGGTTTAAAGATCCTACCGTCAAATTCACTCTACTGTCCAATAATCTATAGATAAAACTCGAATCTCCCCAAATCTAAGTGTATCCAGTCACGTCTGTGTCTTTTTTTCCATGTGTCTACGTTTGTCAGAGTAGTGGTAACAGAAACTCTAAAAGTGATCCACCCCTCCTGTGTTTCTGCATCCTCATAGGACAGGGAGGGGGAGCTAGCGCTGATTGACAGGCTGCTGGCCAATCCCCAGCTGTCGTCGGCAGAGTTCCAGGAGTGGAAGAGAGCCTATCAGGAGCTGTTCACTCAGGAGCAGAACTCAGCTGCCGAACCAGAACCAGAACCCGAACCCGCTGACCCGGGGCCGCCCCTCACCCCCTCACTGTCCCACACACACTCCTACATCGAGACACATGTCTGACCTGTTTAAAAAGAACACTGAAAGCGTGTGGTTCTGAGTAAGGATGCTGATTAATCAGGAGAAAGCGTCACGGGGCATCAGAGTCGTGTTTTCTGCCGCCTCAGCGTAATAAGTTCACCATGACAGATTACTGAGGAGCGCCTCATGTCACTTGAGTCAACGATCTGTCGGGTCAAGCCACTCCAGCTGATGGCAGGCATGAAGATATGCTAATTCTTGAGTATTACTAGTTAGCTTTTGTGCTCTGTACCTGAAATACTCTCCTTGGAAATGCCATTCAAAGAACTCATTATTTTATGTGGATGATTTTTTTTTTCATCATCTCCATAAAAGGTATAAATCACAGAATGTATCTTTACTCATCCTGCTTGTTGTGCCATGTTTACACTGAACGCAAAGTGTCTCATAGCCAGTAAGTTGACAGGCTTTTTACTCCATGAAGCCTTATACTTGATAATATTGATATTGACTGTATAGTGAGTGTTCCAGCTGACCACAATCAAATCTTTTTTTTTTTTTTTTTTTACTTAGTATTCCATCTAGATTTAGAGGCTTTTGTTTGTGCAGATTTCGTAGAATTACGTACAGTGCTGGGCTGGACCTAAAGCATGCATCCTCCTTCTGGAACAGGAGCCATTTAAAGGAAAATCCACCCTAAAAAGGTTAAAACAGCCTTTAACAAACAAACTGAATTTAATTTCAAAACAAAGACAGCTAAAAAACATTTTCTGATCCTACTGAGTACACACACACACAACTACTAAATAAAATATATGACAAATATTATTTATAGAATTTAGAGACCACTATATTCAATTATATAAATCTTTTATGGCACAATTCTTAGATAATAATACAGATTTTTAATCTGAAAGCTAAAAAAAAAAATTCTATCTAATATAAAATACAGTTAACTTTGATTACAAAATTATAATGATTTTTATACAAAAATCTAGGAAGGATACTTAGAGTTTTTTAAGTAAGAGGGCACTCTGAATGTATGTAAACAACAAATTCATTACAAAATTGTTAAAAAATGCAAGATTTTATAATGACATATATTTGGAGATACTGTAGATGAAAGTAGTTTCAATATCCAGTGCCTTTTAAAATTATTAAAACACCTTAAAATTATTCATATTTTCTCACATCAATGCAAACTTTAATGTGTTTAACATTTTCCCTGTGAATAATTCAACCTAACGGCATCATGAAGAGAAAGAAACACAGCAGACAATTTTAAAGTAGGATTAGGTACTGGAATCATTTGTTTAAATCATCATCGAAACTGCATACATACCAAGACATGGCTGCACACCGAAGATAACTAGTCTGGTAAAAAACGCATTGTTTTGAAAACCCAGCCCAAAGCTTCTTTATAATCCTGTAGCTGCAGACATCTGCAGCTCAGATCGAATAATCTGTCATCAGGGAAGCTAGCTGATGTACCAGCAGAGCAAAAAGATTTTGATAGAAATATAAAATAATTCTGATTTCTAGTTTGCCACAAAGCCCATGGAGGTAGGTACACTGGTCAGATAAGACAAAACCAAACCTTATTAGCTTCATACAAAATGCTATTTGGAAGAGGAGCAAAACTGAAGGTCACACGATATTTCGACAGCGAAACACAGAGATGGCAGCATGATGGCATGTGAATGCTTTTTTTTTTTATCCCAATAGGAGCAAGGAAAGGAAATTGTGTTAAACTCAGAACAATCTGAAAAAGCCAATTCAGAGTCTGCGGCAGTTCTTTATACCCTGAACAGCCCTCCATAAGTCATTTTATAAAGGTCTGTACTGTAAGCGGCTAGCTACTGATGGAGCTTACCCCTTGTGGAACAGGCACTGAAAAAGTTATAGAGTTATAGCTCTGTCTTGACCTCAGCCGATGAGCTCAAAACTCCCCTTTTTCTATCCGTCTTATACCTTGTTGTGCTATGTGTCTGCCAGGAGAATGGTTATCTAATGTGTGTGATCATTTGACACACCCATCATATCACAAATCCTGCCTTCTTTTCCCTGCTGTATCTTTTCATTTCAGGATATTAACATGTGTTCCCCTTTTCATTTCTGCTCCTTGAAAATGGTACATTTATTTACAGTGATATAGGTTACTATATCTATTTAGGTTGCTCTGTATTTTCTCATTTTCCAGACCTTGTAACTTAATGATGATTACTAATTTTATGTAGAGAAAATTAATCTCTGCTTTAAACTAAGATGCAGATTAAATAACGCATTAGAATTTATACCTTAAAGTATTATACTATGGGTAGGAAAAACTGTAATTTATGGAGAATATACACATCTATTATATTGAGTATTTTTGGAGTTTAAAAAAACTTTTCATGAATGATAAAGATTAATCTTAACACGTCAAAGGGCCAGAACTTTAGTCTCTAAATGTGCCAAGCAGATAGAGGCATTCTTCCAACCATTAACTGTTCAAATGTGATGTAGAGATGATATTAAAAAATATTGATTAAAGAGTCTTAATGTGCATGTATAAAATACCTGTTTGTCATCTTAATTTCATCTTTAGTATTTCACATTATACTTCTAGAGGATCCCATTAAAATAGTAAAGGACCTGTACTTACATAGTACTTTATTAAGTCCAGGGATTGCAAGCTGTTTACACTAAATAGAGTCATTCCCACATTTAAATCCATTCACACTCTAAGTATGGAGTGAAATTTGGTCCATAATTATTGCAAGAAAAAAACACGTCCCATTTCTAAAATCTATGGAAAAAAAGATCAATCTAGGAATGAAACTTCGAAAAATGTCTTAATCAAAGAAAAAGGTTTAGAGTTTTGAGAGAAAATGTTCTGTTTTCTTAGATTGTATTTTGAAAATAATATGTTTTTTAAATTTCTGTTTTTTTAAATTACATTCTACTTTACTTTTGAAACTTAAATTTGTAAAACAAAATTGAAATAATAAATTTTTAAATTAAAAGTTAAAACACATCTTGGAAAAGTGAAATTTAAAAATATAAAATATAAAAAAAAAAAACGGAAAAAATGTTACTTTTTAATAGCTTCATTTATGGATTACATATACCCCGTTTACACTACCCTTAAAAAACTGAGCCGAGACCGGTCCGAGCTCAGTAACTGAGATAACTTGTCGTGTGTGAACGGAAACAACCTGAACTGAACCGAGATAAACATAACCGGACCGCGCTAACTGCAGACCAGTTCCCGAGGTGGGTTCGGCTCGGTTTTTTCCTGGCTCGGTTCTCTGATAACAAGAGCGCATGAGCAGAACGCGTCATCGCCGACTGGCTGAACATGCCGATTCACACTCCATTCCAGAAAGTCGGCTTCCCAAAAGCCGACTTTCTCAAGTACATCCGCGCAAGGTTGCCGTCTTCGCCTGACCCACCGCAAACACGGAAGTACAGCAATAATAATCAAGCATAACTTTCTGAATGTGACGGGCGCCGCCATTTTGATTTGCTTGATTCCCTCTTCCTTCGTCTTCTTCTTCTTGGGTTTTACGGCGGTTGACAAACAGCGTTTGGTGCATTACCGCCACCAGCTGCTTGAGTCCCTCCTTCAATCCTAGCAGTAATACCGCACATCGTCACTAGGAGGCGAGGAGTCGAGGCGTCGAGATAACCGAGATAAGTGTGACGTGTGAACGGTCGTCAAAACTGAGCTTGGCCTGGTTACCGATCCAAGCTCGGACCGGTCTCGGCCTGGATCGGTTTTTCAAGGGTAGTGTAAATGGGGCTTTATTGTGTTAATTTTCATTTACAAAACATGTTCTGGTTCCAACAATAATGGAACAAAATTCACTCCATACTGATGATAATAGACTATATAGATAATAGACATTGTTGCCACAGCTGCCCTGGGGTAGACTGACACAATTGGTGCCACTTGGCCCTTTGACTACCAACAGCAGGCAAAAATACAAAATGGGGTCTGAGGACTCGAACCGACAACCCACCGGTTAAAGGACGAACCCCTGAGTCATTGCCGTCCCATATAAAACCTTTAGAAGATACAGTAAAGTTTGTCGGGTAAAGACACAAAAGGTTAAAAACACAGCTAACCCCATGCGTACAATTCAGTAACTTAAATGAAATATATATTTTTATATACTCTTATCTTAAAAAAATATTAATTATAGGACAGATATTTTTGCTTCTATTTACCTAAATGACATATACAGACACAAATACATTTCACTTGTAATGACTGTCATATAAAAATGACAATTTTATGCATGAGTTTATCAAATAAATCTAGACAATAAATATTTTTTATATTCTCCATACAAATAAAGAATATACATTATAATTAAATAATTCCCTATGATTACTTATTAAAAAGTATAAAATTGTCCAGGGGTGGATTTTTCCTCACAGATGATTTAGCTTTATTACAGGCGTGTCACATTGAGCATATGAAGAATATTTGCATAGGAAATTATACCTTGATCTATTTAAGATATTATTCTATTTCTATGCTGCTGCCAGAAGATGTAATAATGTATCTCAAACATTAACACAAACTTTGAAAGCAATCCTAAATATACAATAATTACTTGCACTGACGAACACTGTCTGTATGCTCCTTTTATGCTGCTGCCCGTGGTTGGTTGTAGTAGCATGTTTTTGCTGTAGATCAAAACAATATTCATTTCATGTTTTGTGTTTAAAATCTATAGATAAAGTAGATCTCTATTTATAGAGTGTGAATTGTCTTGAAGAGTATCTTTAATTATATCAGGGTTTCCTTTTGTAAACTATCATTGTGTAAAGAATGTTTAGTGTTCAATCTATAAATTATAGTTTAAAGACAGTATTTATTTATGTGTTCATTCTTTGTGTTTCGTTGGAAGATGAGACTGAATCAATAAAGTTTTAGTCATTTGGATTAGAAGCTTGTTTTAATTAATAATGTGATTACATGAATTTCCTTTCTGAACAAGAGAGAGTCTGTGGAATCTATATTTTGATGGAGAGAAAATATTCTAACCTGTTGATTAGAATGACTGTCATCATTTCACTGATTAATGCCATATAACTCAGGTACAATAAAACCAACATTTAGTGGATAGTCTGTTTCAAACCTTTAAACGTTAGTAATAAAATCCACAGTTTTACAACCGCAAAAATTCCAAACATGGTATGCTGGAATCCATAGACCGACTTGGGGGGGTACTGGCATCTTTTTAAAGAATAAGTCAAAATACTATTTTTTTAAATCATTTTCTATGATTTTGACTAGGTTAAATATCAATTTCTACAAATCAGAAAATTATATCTTTCAATGCCTTTTGTCACGTATAAAATAAATAATGTGACATTATTTTTCATATTTCACTATTAGTGGTAAATAATTATTTGATTGCCTTTTAAAAAAAATCTAAAACCTCTTTAGCTTTCTTTGAGGACATTATAATTAACTTAAATAAACCATATTTAAACCAACACAATATTTTTTCCTAAACTGTATATTCAAAAAGCCATTAAACAGAACCTGCCTGAAAACCTGAAGAATAATAAGCTTTCTTGGGTGATGCAGCAAAACATTGATCTTACGCATACCATAAGTCCAATTCTGGATAGCTGGAGAAAAAAACAAAATGATCATCTGATACAAATCAAGCCAGAATTTGATGCATAAAACTGAACAAAACATATTTATACTTAACAATGGTACAATTGCCTTTTCCTAAAAGAACAATGTCTTGGTTTTTTCTGTTCTGAAATATATCCAAAAGCTCAAAACGTTGTATTAATTCACAGGTTTTTTTTTTGCAGTAAATGCCTGCAGAATCGATTTAAATGTGAGGTGAAAAAAAAAAACAAGAACAGAAGAAATCTTTAATATCAAATATACATTTGAAGGCTCTACAAATGATTGCATCAACAAAACTTTGTAATTCTTTCATTTCCACAAAAGTGAATTTGTTTGGTTTTAAAAGAATAGGTGTTTCATTGTAAGATATAAGCATCTGAGCTACTTTTTATATTTAGCTCAGCTAAATATTTTATCATATGCAGTGATTGTTATATTATTCACAAAATTATGTGATAGTTTAGTTTGGCATGGACTTCCAATGCAATAACACCGAATTTATTTAATAGAAGAAAGCTAAACGCAATATAGGAAGAGAAAGTATTTGCTCATTAAAAAAATAAATAATATTTTAAAAACCTTTTTCTGCTTTGAATAGTGTGAATTAAAACACTGATTTGAAAGGCATCTTTGGAGACCTTTATCTATTGCTGGCCTTGAAGCGCTCAGCAGCACAGGATTGGATTGTCTGGCAGACGAAGGAGGGTGCACTCAGTGCCAGTCAGAGGTCTTGGGAGCTGTGCAATTTCTCTCCAGCGATCTTTCTTTGTATCATACTCCAGCACACTTCTTACAGACACCTGTTGTCCATCACTCCATCTTCTTCCACCGAATAGCAGCAGATTATCACATTCCAAGGTTTGCAGTCCATAGCAGAAAAGGCCATTTGCGAGTGGTTTGAGGCGGGTCCAGTAGTTTGACTGTGGATCGTATCGTTCAATATCACAAAAAGGCTCGTACATCCCAAGCAGGGCGTAAATGTGACCATGAGCGGTTGCCAATCTATGACCAAACCTCTGAACTGACATGGATGCCCTCTTTTCCCAGACTCTGCCAATTAGATCCCAGCACAGGCATTCTCTACTTATTTCTCTATTAACTTCCTGGTTATTGCTGTGGATTTGACTCAGGGGGGAAGGAAGACCCCCTGATACATAAATGCTTTTGTCAAGCACAGTAGAGGCATGGCCATGAAGAGGGTAAGGCAATGCTGCAGCTCTCCTCCAAGCTCCAGAAGCCATGTCATAGTATTCAACTGATGCTACAGAAGTATACATGCCAGAGTCCGGCTGTAAGTGTCGTCCTCCAATTGCATAAATAACGTCCTCCACTATGCAGCAGGTAAACTGCATCCGTCTCTCCAGCATGGACTCCATCTGCTCCCAGTGGCTAAAGCGGGGATCATACCTCCACACTTGGCATGATGTTGACATAGCGACTGACTTCTTCTCGTCGTCATCACAAGTTTTTATATTGTCACCCCCCATTACAAAGAGAAAACCTCCCACCGAACAAACACATGGACTTCTGAGTCTCAATGGCAGAACTAAACCCGGCACTGTAAACCTCTTGCTGCTGGAGTCAAATGCCAACACCTGCTGTTCTGGCAAATCAGTGCTAGTCCCACCACCAACAAGAAGCACATGACTTGTTGACCCTCTCATGGTTGACTGCCTGCTCTGCCCTATTGGCTTAGCTGAACCCATTTGGTGATACTCAAGTGCACGCGTCAGCTGACCTCTAATAAGAGGAGTGGCCATGGCTCTGTTTCTGTGGCTTAGGTTAGAAAGGTCAGAAGGTGAAACCAGTCCAAAGCGTAGACGACTCAACAGAAGGTTTGACTTTAAGAGTGGGAGAGGCCCATTCTCATCAAGCCAATCAAGACAAAGCTTAATGAGGTCCACCTCTTTGACCCCAGGTATATCATCTGCATCTAGCACGGCCATCAGTGATGAAAAGTTCAGCCCAAGGAGTTCAGCTCTGTTTCTCTGTAGCAGCACTACCATCTTCTTGGCAATAGTTTGATTTGCAGCCTCAAGTGCTTTCAAGAGGAAGTGTTGGTCAGCCAGATTAGCATAGAAGCAGCAGTTATCATTGGTTAGTCCATCTGCCATAAATCTCTCACATATTGACAAGGCCGCCTCTACCTGGAGGTAGCGAGAAGCTTCAACCACAACTGGAAGTGTGGAGGAGGAAATGCTCAACCACCCTGAGTACAAGAAATCCAAAATGGCTTCTAAACCCTCAGGTGTGAGTGCTGGGAGGCTGATGAAGTCTGCTGATCTCTCTGCAGTTGTCTCTCCAAAAAGGGCCCAGAAGTATTCACTGGAGCTTGCCAATAGAGTGCGATGGCATGGGAAGGAAACACCGCCTGATTCCAGGACAACATCACACATCTTCCTGTGATCCCGCAAGCGTTGGAACCCAGAGAGGAGTCCATCATTGTGGGACGAACTATAGAGGACTGAGTAGGTATCCATGCAAAGAAAAAGGTAAAAAGATAAAAAAAAAACAAATATCTGTCAAGGAAAAGATAGTATGGCAGATATGTTATTGATGTGGTACGCGAAAAAGAAGAATGGAAATCATCTGAAGAGTGGAGACTGGAAAAAGTGTGTCCTCAGTTGGGTTCTCTCCATCTGTGTTTTAGTCCTCTGTCTGCAGAAGTTGCTACCCGACACCATGATAGGGAGGTAATAACAGCCCCCTGCACATTCACATCCACACATCCTTGTGACCCAACCCCCTTTGGCACTGAAACTTGGCTCACTTGTCTCTGTCTGGGATACTGGCGCTGTTGGCTTTGTGTTTGTCAGCTGCCCTTTGCTCTGAGTTCTCCAGGGAGTATCACTGAGACGCATGCGTCCAACTTAACATCAAATAACAAGCAAACAATGTGTCGTCGAAACAAGGGGGCTGGAGACCGTATCAGGTAGGGTTATAGGTCTATCTCTGCTGATGAACTCATCTGTAAATATGCCTGCTATGGTCAAGGCTTGCAGAAAGCTGATGGGCACAGTTGATAAGGCACCTTTCAGTCAGGAATAGAAACACAGCTTAGAGGATTTGTCTGCAAGGACAATACAATAAAAGCTTTGCTGTAATCTTTCAGATTGTCCCTTATTGATGATTCTGCAGAGTTTTATTGGTTTTAAACTCTTCCTGGGAGTTTAGCTGCTTTTTCCTCTAATTTCAGTCTACCACTTATTTTCCTCATTTTCAGGTTTTATGTTCAAGCCACATAACTCTCACCTATGGCATTTACAGGCACAACAAGACTCTTAAACTGAGTACATTTTAATTAATTATTAATGAAAAAAGCATAACAAAAAACTATATTTCACTGGAATCAAGATTGAAAAAGAACAATTAGCATAATACTTTATGTAAAGTAAATTATACACAATCCTGCTTCATATTTCAGGTCCCATAGTAGATCTTTGCAATTTTTTTTTTTATCCATTTTCCATCAAGCTCATCCCAGCTGGGGTCGCGAGGGGTGCAGGTGTCTATCTCCAGCTGTCTACGGGTGTGAGGCGGGTTACACCCTGGAAAGGTCGCCAGTCCATCGCAGGGCAACACAGAGACACACGGGACACACAACCATTCATACACACACTCACAACTTAGGAGAATTTAGAGAAGCCAATTAATCTAACAGTCATGCTTTTGGACTGTGGGAGGAAGCCGGAGAACCCAGGCATGCTCAGGGAGAGCATGCAAACTCCATGCAGGCAGACCCCAGACCGGGAATTGAATCTTGGAACGTCTTACTGCAAGGATACAGTGCTATCCACTGTTCCACTGATCAGCCCCTAGTCTTTTTTTTTATTCTTACAAACAATTTTGTCCCAAATACCATTTTGAGTCTGTAGGTTCGGAACATGTATTTCCCAAGTTGATATTCAATCAGTATGTTATCGTTATCTTCAAGAAGTACGTTATTTACTCAAAAAATACAAAGAAAACCTCACCCATTTAAACAGAATGTATCATTGTTCCAACTAGTACTGTAACAGAGGATATGCTAGTAATAACGGCCACTGTTTTATGTATAATGCTGGTTGGCCTATTTTTCACAAACAATTTTCACAAAACACAAAATGTGTATCCTGCAAGAGAAAAGCCCTTTTCCAATCAGCTGTCTGAAATGTGCAACAACAGATGGGGCAAGGGCACCGCTGTGTTACTATGTATGGATCTCTGTTGAACATATGTGCTCTAAAGAGATAGGTGAGAATGCTGAGCACACAACACAGTATGTGTTTAATTACAGGATTTATATAGTATATCAATCATATATCCAATGTATAATATGGCTAAGAAGTGACTTTGGGCAATTTTAATATCTGTACTAAAGACATAAAAGACTTATGGTATGACACTGCTTTTGTCCACCTTTGGTCATACAGATAGGGTTGAGATGGCAGGCAGGGTTGAGATGGCAGGCAGGGTTGAGATGGCAGGTAGGGTTGAGATGGCAAGATGTCCACACATCATCTTTTACTTATTCAGGATTACATGGAGGAATTAGTGGGATTAGGCTTGAAATGTTCAGTTTAAGCAACTGGATGTGACATCTAATTGCCTAAAAGGAACTTTCCAAACTTCACCATGGCCTGGACTACTAAATCTTCATAGGCAGGATTTTCCCAGTCTCTAAACATGCTGCTGTTGTTATTGTGGAGAGGTAGTGGCTACTGTTTGAGCTAAATCTGGATGACAGTTGCTTCACCTTATCTCTGACACCTCAGGTAAATCTCTGCTCGCCTGACTTCTAGGGAAATACCTCCATATTTTAAAAGACATAACTCTACTAAAGCTTCATAAATGCAACTGTAATGATAAAATCAACATGTGATGTTCAGATTCAATGACAATGCATAATCTTTTTACTTATTAAGATAAGACACAGTCATTTAAAAACAGAATTAGGCCCATAAACATTTGTCTGCAAAACAGGTTAAATGTAATGATGAGCTTTCTTTATGGTTCTGAAACTAATTGCCATCAAATAACCAAAACCTCTGGTTTGTTTTACTAATTTCGATTAATGAAATGGAGGTAACTTTGTTCACAATTTTGTCTGCAGAGAATCTACAAGAAACCCATTTCCTTGTTTGACAATCCTAAATTAAATGGTTCTTAGCACGCATTAATGTTGCCAAAAACAGTTGAATTAGGAACCAATATAAGGCTATTATTGTTTTATGGGCTGTGGAACTTACAGATGTAAAGACTTAAGTCAAGCTCAAGTTCACTGCAAAAAGTTAAAATTAAGCTAGTCAAATGTTCTTACAACAAGTGTATTTCGGCTTGATTTAAACTGGTATGAAAACGAATTTATCATTGGTAAAGGGCGATTTATCTTTAAGATAAGAATAAAAGAAACTCCTTTATCATATTTTAAGTGACTTATAGCTAATTATCTTACTCAAGAGCAAATATGTCCATTCCATTGGAAGAAAATTTTATTTACCTGCTCAAATCAAGGGCACACACTTATTTTTTAGAATGTTGTAGTTCTAAGATGGATTTTCCAGTGTTTAAAGTTTAATAATTTGTCTAACATTAAGAAGTCTAGTCATTTGAAGATGAAAAACCTTACATTTTATCATTAAGGATTTGTAGGAACCCATTTAGAGAAGGATTATTTTATAGCTGCATGTGTCTAGGATCTTGCTCATCTAATTATGACATATAATTATTACTTATAACATTAGCTGTAGGTCAGAATGTAGAAAAGGCTCTTAAAAGGCAAGAAAATCAAAAGTGTCCACTATAGTAGCAGGTTAAGTCATACAGAGAGATAATTGTGGTCAACTACTGGATTAATTCCTTTTTCAAAACCCCTGAATGAAACCAGGCGCTCATAAACGGGTCTCTGCAGAATCTATTGAGGTACTGAGAAGGTACTTAGCCATTTGATTCAGGTGTGTCAGAGCAAAGAAGCAGCTAAAGCTGAAGGAAAGTAGCTGCTGTTAGGCTTTCTAAACTGCTAGCATTTTATGAACTTCAGTGTGTTCTATCATAAGGTTTGACAAGAACTGTTGACGGTACACCTAAAAAGAAAAGATGGCAGCAACTGTTTTTCAGAGATCATGGCTTTCAGACACACTGATAGCCATCTTATGAAAATATTTAGATTATGAGTCTGATCTACTCTGACTAGATCATCGTACTGCTACTAGATTAAAACTTCTTAGATACTATTAATCTCCTATCTCTTATTAATGTCTAAAAAGGAATTGGATTTGCAATGTAATCTCTATCTTAAAGAATTTCCAAACCACAAAGGCACTCAATCTTTTGTCGGGTTACAATTACATTAATCTTCTCATTAGATCTCTGTATGTAGAAGTAATATGCTTACAATATGTTTGTTGCCACACAGAAAAAAAGAGAGAGCAGTAAATATAACAATATAAAAAGCAGTAAAGTCCAACAACAATATTCTCAGGACAAGAAAATGTTAAAGCTTTGAAAACACTAAAACCCCAGTAGGCAATCATATATATATTATTTTGATTTATACAAGGAAAAACAAAATATAATTGCAATTTTATTGTTTTGGTTATTTGACAAAGACTCACAGCCCTACTCTCAACCAACAATACTTTAACTTACTTCAACTTTAATTCACTCTCTTCACTATGCAAGAAGAAAAGAATATTACCCACCTTATTCCTGGTGGATCAATTATTCTAGTAACCTCTGAAACAATTACAATAATGTTGACATTCAGATGTGCAAAATACACAAAGCAGAGGTGGATTTTTTCCACTAAGAGCTATACAGGGATGATGAAGGAAATAGTTGGGTGATGAAGAATGGATTCCCTCTGCAGGATTTAAGACGTTTTTTGGTTTAACTGAACTGTATTTACCCTTAATTTAAGCAGGTTGATAAGATGATCTGCCAATAGAATAATAATTTCTGTCTGTAGAATCTGATAGTTTGATTTTATGCACCTGAATTAAAATAGAAGAGTTGCTTTTTTTCTTATTTAAAAAATAAACCATCTTATGCTATTGGAAAATTGTCCAACTAGGCTCAAATCAAGGGAAAATTCTTAATTCAAGAAAAAAATGACTTTCTTTACTTTTGCAGAGTAGCCTTAGCTAAGTAATTTTCTCTTATATTTTGTGGCTGTATATTTGACACAAATGGTTTACAGTGTTTTAAATTTTTGTCTTCTTTGTATGATAAATCGTCCATGGACATGCTTTTAACATGTTAAGCTTGATGCACATGAAGTGGATCCTTCTTTAGTTACAAAAATCTTAACACGCACCTTTAGCTTCTGCATGTTGAAGATACGTTTTCACTGTACCCAAAGGATTGATTTGCAAGGGTTACATGGAGAAAAGAAATCAAGACGATGCAGTTGGAGAGTAAAAATTAAAAAAAGGAAATCTATGGACTTTAGAAAACAGGAGGAAGATCCCTCCTCCTTTTCTTGGGGCTCTTACTGACTACAAGAAATGAAAATTTCTAGTAGTCAGTGAAAAAACAGCACTGCTGATACGAGATGTGGTGCAATTTTAGATCTCATTAATTTATGGTAATATTATGTTCTTTTTATGATTCTTTTTATTCATCAGCACATGACATCACAGTTTTTTTCCTTCCTGATCACATTCCCATCCTAAGTGATTGCCAATAAATGTTTAAATACACATCTACT